CACATTTTGATTGCTTGTTGTTTTTTGTAATGGTCCCGTCTGCAAAGAGAAGTTTCCTTGATGAGGGTGAAGAATCTGTGGGAATAAGGACAAATATTTGCAATGAAGTTAACAAGTGTGCTCTCAGGAAAGTGGTGGTCGTCTCATGACTTCACTAGGCCTGGGTAGTTACCTGGTTTCCAATACCAGACTTGATTTTCCTCCTGTTGAATAGGTCTTAAGTCCATTTAGAGAGCTGTTGGTAACTGCCAAAGTGTGTGTGTCATTTCCGCACCCTTGGAGGTATCGTGCTATGCTGATTATTGTTTTGGTTCATAGGTGTTAAAGCTGGATAGGACCCTTGGTTGCTTCCTTTCTTTGGGGAATTTTGAGGTGCCTTCTGGTACTGTGAAAGCTGGTCCTCAAGGAAGAGGATTTCAGGTCGTTTCCAGCTCAGGGACTTCTGGGCCCTGTGTCTGGAGTGCATGGCATCCACAGCATTAACCTCCCACCTCTGGGGAGCAACCAAGGACAATAGTTTGCAATTTTTTAGACAACGGCTCAAAAGATGGTTTCTCATGCTTGATGTGGGGGCTTCTGTTAGATGGTCTTTGGCTCTTGGAAGGAGCATTGCCAGCCTAGATGGGAAATTTTCATTGAAAATATATATGTTTATTTATACAATGATTCTGCATTTTAGGTAGTTAGGAATATTATGATTCCTTTTAACTTTTGTTCCAAACATCTTTATTGCTATTTTACTTTCTTATCCCTCCCCAACTAGAAACCTCCTTTTTCCCATTCTCATGCTCGGATCACTTGTACTCCTCTTTATTGCTCCCCCAACCCCCGGCATGTCAATGGTTCCTTATGATATTTCTGGGGTTTTTTTTTCCAGTTACTCCAGGCTATTAATGTACATCTGAAGATTTGGAACTAGGAGCTCTAGATGAGAGGGAACATGCACATTTGTTTTTCTTGGTCTGGGTTACCTCACTCAATATGTTCTTTCCTAGTTCCAGCCATGGAGCTACGAAGCTCGTGATTTCATTTTTCTTTACTGCTGAATAGTACTCCATAATGTGTATGGAATTTTCATTATCCAGTCATCTGTTGAAGGACATTTAAGTTGCTTCCATTTCCTAGCTAACATGAATAGAGCAGCAATGTATAAGGCTGAGCAAGTGTCTGTGGAGTCCTCTGTGCACAAGCTGAAGGGTGGCACATCTGGCACATCTGGGACACGTGGTGTCTGGCTGCTCAAATCTTCCCTTCCTGGTTTTGAAATATGCTCCTGCCCCTTTGTTTCCCACCCTGTGATTTAAAAATTATACCTTGTACAGTAAACTGCAAAGATCCATGTCAGCATTCTGGGCTGAATATAAGTAAATAAATGGGTGGGGGAGGGTGCACCAAGTCATCTCAAAATAATTAGTATCCATTACCATCCATGTTGATGGAGGGAAATGTAAAGGAGCAGAACAAAATAGATGGTTTTGTTTCCATTAGCATCAGGTTTAAGAATAAGACCTTCAGGGGACAGATAGAACTCCTGGAGTCCTTTGGCCAGCCAGTCTAGCCCAGTCAGTGAGCTTTAAGTTTAAGGACCAAAAAAAAAAAAAAAAAAAAAAAAAAAAAACAAGAAAAGAAAAAAAAAAAGTTACAGCAATAGAAGACACCTGACATCAGCCTCTGGCTGCAACATGCATGAACACCTGCATGCCTGTACAAATACATATATAGTACATTTGAAATCTTTTTTAAAAAAATTAAGACTTCTACACCAGCAATAAAAATAGATGTGCAGACACTTTTGTCCTGCCATGGCAATTCTGGATATGATGGTATATTCAAAAACCATTACCCTATAGTGCACTGTAAAGTTAGACATATTTTCAAGAAGCACGCACTTAAACATGAGTTTTAAAGGGCAGCATATTCTAGTCTCCAAAACACTTAGCAAATAACCTTTGAGTTCACATGAGCCACCCACACAAAAACCAAAATGAACTAGACAGAAAAAAAATTGCAAAAGCAACTGTCTGTTGACAACCAGATTTTCTTTCAGCCCTTGAGTTTTTGTCTATAAATAATCTGTGTGTTTCGAGTCTGACCATTGTCTTCGGTGGCCCCTCCTGACATGTTCTCGGTTCAGTGTGTCTTAAAACAAATATTAAATGTGTAAATCATGGGAACTATTATGTTTTTAGAGGGGAACCGTTGGAGATAGGTGCTTTATAGATACCCAGGGTGTCAAAATGAAACATTAAGATGATGTATTCTTTCTTTGGAGCATCTGTTTATCTTTTGTGAGATCTTGAGCTTGATAAATCACCAGAGATAAAAACTTCATTTTTAACTTATTGTAGATCCCAAGTGCGGACAGGAAAAATAGCGCTGTGTCTTCTCTACATGAATTTACCTCTCTCCCTGCTGATGACTTACAGGGTTTTATTTGTAGAGAAAACATAATGCTCTGTTGACTGGAAAATGGTGGCTTTCGCTCAGAAACCTGAGAACTGAAGGGAAAAAAAGAGAAACTTACATTGACAGATATGATTTAACATGTTTTAATGTTTGCCTAGAATGGCATAGAGTGTTAAATAGGGAAAAAGACCACAAGATCATTTAAAGCAAAGTTTTAAGAATGTTTTAGTTTTATTTTTCAATATGTGCATACTTGGATATTCTGTGTGAGTAAGAACCACATGTGTGTGGAACCTGAGGAGTCCAGAGATGTCAGATCCCAGGAGCTGGAGCTGCGGGTGGTTGTGAATCACCAGATATGCATGCTAGGATCTGAAGTTGGGTCATGTACAGTAACAGCAAGGGCTTTCATCTAATGATCTCTCTCTATAATGTAAAATGAGGTTTTTGCCAGAATTTTATCTTCAGCTGAACAGATGTAGCAGAATGGATATCGGATACTTGGTGGGGATATAATTTTTTGATTAATCCAAATAACTGATGAAGGTATCTTTGGAGATATATAAATAAAATATATTCATCACACACACACAAAGAGAGAGAGGGCGTAGAAGGAGGAAGGGAGGGAGGGAGGGAGGGAGAGAGAGAGAGAGAGAGAGAGGAGAGTTTTGTATTCCCCCCCCAAAAAAAATCCAAATTTCTCTTATTTGGCAGTCTGGCGAATCAATAAATCCACAGACTTTCTATGTATATATGAATATTCATCTGTATCCAGGAGGACCACACAGAAATGTAGAGATGACTACTCAGCAGTTCTTACTGTGAACTAGAGGGTCAAAGGACATGACTCATGAATGAGTCAATCAAAATGGCATAGCATGAATGTTCCAGATGACCATGGCTCCATGTGTGGAGAATTTCCCTGCTACAGTGAATACCCCCAATGTCTTACCTGGCCCTTAGTTTATTGCTCTCCACCCTGAGCAGGTTGGGACACATTTAAATGCATGCCAACTCATTCTAGGCCTCAGGAACACAGTGAAATTTTCGAATAACTATCACAAAGAGCTATTTCAGGAGATAGCTTCTGTCTTAGGCTTCAGAGTTCCTAAAGTCCCCATAGCACCTGACTGATGGCATCTGTGAGCAGGTGACTTTACTTCATCCTTCTCTCTCCTCTCAAGAGAAGCATGCAAGTTGTGAGAAGGAGCCAAATCGAGGCATTGCCTCCACCATGGCCAATGTTCTAATGTTTCAAGCCCCCTATTTGTTCACTGCGACAGCTACACAAAGAACTGGCCTTTAGACCAGGAAGTATTCCACCTGAATGAAGAATCTACTTCCTGTATCAAAGGGTCGCAGTCCATCATGGCAAGGAAGGGATGGCAGGGCAGAAGTGTGTGGCAGAAGCTGTCCTCATCACAACAGACCAACAATCAGAGAGTAGTGTGGGGAAGCAGGGCCAGGAATCACCCCTAATGGTCTGATTCCTCCAGCTAGACACAACTCCAAAATTTTCTAGAATCTTCCAAGATAGCACCTGGGGACCAAGTATTTAAGCCAAGGTCTCTGTGCAACATTTCAGATTTAAAACATAAACCTTTGGCCACCCATGCAGGGTTTGTGCAGGTCATGGTAGAACCTGGGATAGTCTATCGCTTTGCCCAGTTGGATGGGCCAGCCTAGAATGTTCATATGCAAGGCTCACCTGGGATGTCTGCCAGCAGAGACGCAGTGAAGGGAAGGCAGTGTGAAGCCAGCCCTCAGTCCAGCAGGAAGAGGACGTTCTAGATGGGTTAGACAGTAAAAGTCTTAGTCCTTGTCACAAGAGGAGGACTAGAATCCAGAGATGCTGGGGGATTATGCATACATCTTAAAAGTGAAATAATGTAGTCAAAACCACATGCAAGGAAGAAAGTCTGTGTTCCAGTGCTTATTTAGATTAAAAAAAAAAGTGTTGCTCACACAGCACACCTTTGATGAGAGACTGGCCATGGGTACAAAGCAGAGGGGGGTACTTTACAGAAACATGGGTAGCATGCTCAGAAACATTAATACCAATTAAAGCGTTCTTTTGTAAACCAACTTGTAGCTTCCCTTAACCATTCCATCGGAGAAGGGTGGTTGAGGAAAGATGACTAAATACATCTGGGGAGTCTGGTGCTTGCTTGGGTCAGCATTTGGGGTCATGTTATGTTTCCACCACGCGGTGAACTAATGCATGGAGATCACTGTGGAAGAGAGTGGTTGAAAGCTGACTCCAAAGGTACCTCAGCAGTTGGGAGTCTCTTCATGGAGAATGGGGATAGAGTGCAGTCTCTCAGGGTGGCTCACCAAGTGGCTGAGCCTGGGACTTTCTGGTAGTCCCCATGGAGGCTAGCTGACTCCAGTGGTCCTATGATATCTCCAGCTCACTTTGGGGAAGTCACTGCTCACAGATCCCAGCCCATGCAGTGGACGGGCAGGAAAAGCTACATGTCCCCAAGCAAGCATGGCTAGCATGCCATTGGTTTTGGCCATAACTACGAGGTTCCACATGGATGTGCTGGCAGTCACCAGGGAGGCCATTCACCTTTCTCCCTCTTCCCTTCTAGTTGCACTAGAGCAGTTCTCGCTGGCAGTGAGGCGCTGTCCCAACGGGGAGGACCAGGCTTTGCTAATGAAGGTAAGTTATCAGATAACTCTTTATTTCCTTAAAGCCTCCTAGCATTCTGATTGCCCAGAGGAGAGAGTTCTGGTTTGGGTTTTTTTTTTTTTTTTTTTTTAAGAGGGAGTAAATTTATCATCTCTGAATTTTGTGCTCCATGGGGATATGCTTGTCAGTGGCTGGCAGGAGGGTGGCTGGTTAATGAGCACAACCACTGTCTGTGGAACACAGAAGTGACAGGGAAGTGGGTGTCAACGACTAGCAGGGAGCCTACATGAATCTCGGTGGATTTGGTTGGTTTTATTTAAACTTATCTGACAGTCTCGATTCCTTTAGCAGATTTATGAGACTTGGCTAAATTCCACATCTCCAACTATATTTTTTAATTAAGACAAAAGATCCTACACCTTCCCAGCTGGCCCTGTCTTCCCTTTCGCCACCAAAGGGAATGCCACACAAATTAGACCAGTGTCAACCTCTGAGACAGTTAACTCATGCTATAGGTTCTTTATCCTGGAGTTGGAAACAAACTGTTCCTTTTCAGGAACAATCATTTTATTTCTTCCCAGATGGCATGGACAGAGGTGTAGTATAACCTATATTTAGATTGTGCATTTGCGAGAGCCCAAAGAGGTCAAGTAAGCAGCCTGTGCGATTTTAATAAAATCTGACTGGAGGCAGAAAGCGGCTCACTAGAGTAGACACATACACACCCCATACACACACACACCCACACAACATACACACATACACACACACACACCATACACACACACACATCATACACACACACCATATACACACATACACACACACCATACACACACTCACACATCATGCACATACACACAACACACACACCATACATACACACCATACACACACACACCATGCACACACACACAACACACACACACAACACACACCATACACACACACCATGCACACACACACACCATGCACACACACACCATGCACACACACACACACCATGCACACACACACACACCATACACACACACCATGCACACACACACACCATACACACACAACACACACCATACACACACACACACACACACACTGATGACTAAGCCTCCTGTTGTCACCTAGCAGTGTACAGACTGATCTTGAACACCAGTGTTTCCATGATGTCATTTCCATTCTGTGCCATCAGGAAGCCGTATGTACCAGGAGTTGCATTTCTTTACCTAAATGCAGTCTCTCTACCAGGTGTCTTCGGACTTGAGAAATAGGTGGGAAAAAAATAGGATGGCCCTCTAAGGGATTTTCAACTCATTTGCCTAAGGTGTGATATTTTTGGTCTGTCTAGTTTTTTTTTTTTTTTTTTTAACTTTCAGTGATGTTTATTTCATAATAAGAAAGGGGCTGTTGATTCCAAGTGTTGGGTTGGTCTGGGAGACCTGGTTCATCTGAGACCAGGGCGTGTAAAGTGCTGACTTGGCATGACATATCCAAGCATCTGAGCTCGCTTGCTAGTCTGAGGTCTCCGGCACTGGTTTCATTACCTGCTCTGAACTTCAGTCCTCAGCCAGTCTGTTCAAGTACAGGTTGGCTTCCTGTGACCTTGAAGCAGCCTTGGGTCACAGACACTCACCTTTTAACCGGCATTCATTCACTGTTCAAGACCCAGAGGCTTTGCCCTCTTCCTTCGCATCCTGTCCAGCATCTTCTCCCATCTGTTGTCTCATAGCCCTCACCCTGACCCTTCTTCAGGGGAAGAAACTCCTGGGCCCCGCTCCATACCACTAGTGAGCCTCACCTGAAGCTTATGTGGACATCTCAGAGGCAGTGTGGTTTAGAGAACAGAACCACTGAGCTCAGGAGCCCACACCGCCAGGCCGACTTCCAATTGCCCTTGTGGTTACAACGTCCATGTCCCTTTCTAGATTTCTTCTAGCCTAAGGCAGGTAGGTAAAAACAGAAGCAAGCTGAAGGCCCCTCCTCCCAAGCTGCCTCCTGTTGCCTCTCATGCTGGCCTGGCTTCTCTAGTCCACTTAGAACCAAACATTTGGATGTGCGAGAAAAATCAAGCTTTCCCAAGATGTTCTGGAATGTGTGTGCCTCTGTGTATTTTGTGTTTTCCCTGGTGTTTCTTTCGTCTGTATGACCACAGTAACAGAGAGATGTCTGTGGTGTTTTTACAGTATCTTCGAGATAATTGAGCAGGCCTCATCAAAGGAGGTTTACTGAACAAAACTGTGTGCTCAGCCCATATCTACCAAAACTACTTTGTGATTTTTTTTTTCAAGAGATTGAGGTTTCTTTCATGTCACCTATGAGAGGCCACCATGTGGGTGTGACAGGAATGTGTAGGATTCTTTGTGGATATGTGTAAAAAAGCTGTAGGTCGTTTTGAACACACTTGATCAGCTGTCCATTGTATGTTGACACTAGTGAACTTTGGAGTTTATCTGTAGTAAAGTGTGTGTGTGTGTGTGTGTAGCTGAGAATTTCAATGATGTATTTTGACTGTATTCATCTCCCTCCAACTCCTTCCAAGTCCATCCCCCTCCTTTAACCACCCTACTTTATGCTCTGTAGTGAGATAGTCCTTCTGTGGCACTGACCACGCCCATTGGGGGGTGGAGCCATGGGCGGAAGTGACCTGTGGAAGGAGGTCGGAGGGGGCCAGGAAAGGCTCTCTCTTTCTAGCGTGACTCGGACAGGAGAGGATCGGGTTGAATTTCCTGGTGTTCATCTGTCTAGGTTGTAAGTTATTTCTCCCTGAATAAACATCTATTCGGCCTATTTGTTTATCCTGATCCTTATTAACAGCAATAATGCTCCCTACTAAAATCCATCAAGTCAAATTTGTGCTGCCCAAATATTCCTGCAAGTGAGGCCTTGCACTGAAGTGTGGGCAACTGCCTTAGAAAAACAGCTGACTTTTCCTCTCCCAGTAGCTATCCGTTGCCAGTAGCTCCTTGGCTAGGGATTAGGGCTTTGAGCCTGACTCCCCTCTCCATGTCCGGATTCAGTTTGGGTTTGCACAGGTCTTGTGCATGATGTTATGACCACCGTGAGGTCATATGTGCAGCTGCCCTGCTATGTTCAGAAGACACTGTTTACTGTAGTCACCCACTCTCTGGTCCTTACAGTCTCTCTGTAGCCTCTGCTACAATGATCTCTGAGCCTTGAAAGGAGGAAGTGTAGACATGCTCCATTCAGGGCTGACCACTCCAAAGTCTCTCATTCTCTGCACCTTTATCAGTTGTGGGTCTGTTAATCACCATCTATTGTGAAATAGAAGCCTCTCTGATGAAGTTTGAGGATGCATTGATCTATATGTTTAGTGATAAGTCATTAGAAATCAAATTAATACTATGTCCCTTTAGCAGAATAATAGTAGAATCTCACCTAGTACCCGTGACCTGTGTAGCCACAGGCTCTTGGCCCATTATCAGGACTAGTATAGGCTTCAACTTAAGGAGCAAGACTTAAATCCTGCTTGGTTGGTTACTTCCATGATGTTCCTGCCACTGTTGTACCATCAGGCGTTGTCTTTCCAAGATAATCATTAGTGTAGCTCACAAGATTCAGAGCTAAATAACATTAGTGATTGCTTTTCTCCTCCAATAGTATATATAGAACCTTTGAGAATGATAAAAATCTAGACAGTATGGATGAACCTTCCGTGTTAGTACCAGCTTGATTCCTCCATATTCATCATCATAGGTGTGGTTAGTGTCTTTAACAATGGAGTCTTTTTGTTGAGTTCTGGAGTTTGACCAAGAGGATTGAAAATAACTTGTAATATTTAAGGTCTGTGGGACCTCACTGGCCAACAACTCATTTAAGTACCCCATTCCTAGCACTGGGCTTTTTATTTGTAAGACAGTATGTCTAGTAGGGACATCATCACTCTGTTTTAGAGTAACTCTATTTTAATTCATCTTATGAATGTTTGTGTGTATATATATGTGTGTGTGTGTGTGTATTTATGAATGTATGTCTGTATATGCCACTTCTAGAGTAGTAGGTTTCTATATGAGTTATTTGAAAGGTCCCTGGAGTTATATCAATCCCCACAATCCCTCCTCTACTCTGCCCTCTATTCTCCCACACCAGTTTAACATTTCCTTTTATAAATTTCAAAATTCAATTTCACCTCATGAAAATTTGTTGGAGGCCAAAAGCAACAATAATAAAGGCACAAATATTTGCCTGTTAGGGGAGGGGAGACTGTGGCCAAGACGGTGATGTTCCCGGGATAGCACTCATTCTCTGCACTTGGGATTTACTGCTCCTTGCAATTTCTCCAAATTTGGGAAACTTGACTGTATAAATTGTGGCAGTGGAGGAGTGTACTTTCAACACACACACACACACACACACACACACACACACACACACACACACACAGGGGTTGAACCTAAGACACTACATTTCTGTGCATGCTGTTGATTTCCACCTTGTTCAACATTACTGTAACCAGAGGACAGGGGCTTTAGTGTAACCTGAGAAGGTGTTCCATACATGGACCTCCAAGAAGATAGAAGAGATGAGCACAGAAAAGCATATAGCTACACCACATTCAAATTCCCCTGGAAGAGGCAGAAGTGGTGGGCATAAGATGGTCAAAGCCAGAGCTTTTGCCCTTGATCAGAATAAGCAAGAGGGGCAGGAAAGTCAAGACCTCTGGATGCTTTAGCTGCTCCCTGTGCAGCCACTATGGTAAGAGACCTACAGATAAGCCCTGCTCCCATCGCCCTCACCCAGCTCCTTAAGAGCACATACAGGAAGCCAGGCTTTGATGGACACAAGACACAGTTATGACTGGCTTGGGGTTCTGTCCTCTGGTTTGTCAGTTCATTCTCCTCTGTCCTATCAGATGTATGAGAAGCCCTACCCGGTGCCAGAACAAGGAGAAAGGGCAGCTGTTCAGATGAGGACATGATGTCCAAATGCAGACTGTCCCGTGAGGTCAATCAGACCTGTTCTAGCTGTGCCTGCTGTCTAGCTGTGCCTCAGTCATGAGCCATAGCATCCTCCTC